CACACACACACACACACACACACATACACACACACACACAACCTCAGGAATGGTTGCCAGCTATTTTTTGACTAGGAATAAAGTCTGACTTAGAATGAAATCAATAAAACTAATGTCATAGAAAGCGAAATGGGTAAATAGAAAAATACCAGGATCTTGGTGACATTATTGATTTGCTTGATCAAGCCATCCCTGAAGCCTTACCTCCCTCTCAACATTCCATTTCGTGTGCTAGGTAGTTGCTCTTTGGTCATTCAGGATCAACTCTCAGAAAGCAATAGTATCACTTCCACTGTATTTTATTAGCTAAAGCAGTCACAAGCCTGCTCAGATTGTAAGAGAGGAAATGTGGAACTACCACTGACTCAGAAATAGTTAGTGAATGGTAAACCCCAAGGCACAAATGCAGGCTTTCCTAATAGAGAATGTGTGGTTATTGTACCACAAGTATTCCTAACCTGTGGGAAGAGCACCCCTAAAGAGCCAGAGAGTTATTTCAAGGACTCCGGGAAACCATACGTGCACCAAGCATTTTTTTGTGGATAAATGATGTGCCTTGTGTACATAAATAAACATACTATTATCTTTAAAGTATAAGTACAGCTTTTATGATTAATAACATACAAACTTATTTAAAAATCTTTGCTGAAGTCATAGTCGCTTTTTGTATTTTGTATCATGAATTTTCTTAATCATGTTTACTAAAAGCACACCATGCGGAGGGAATTTTTTTATGTGTAAAAGAGAATTTTTTTTTGAAATGCACATTCTCCAAATTAGAAGTTACTGTCTTCACAGTCCACCGTAAATCACAGAGAATCTCTGAGGAAAGTCTTCTTAGAAAATATTCATAACAGCCTCCCAGATTCACAGATGTGTCTAAGGCAGCTCAGCTCACAGGCCCTGGCACAGTAGCTCTAGGCCATATGCATTCCTGTCTTCCATTTGCATCCATAACTGATTGGACCAAGAGAGAGCAGCTGACTCAATCAATCCTTAAGCTGGCCAATGACCAATGAAGTGGCCTGGCACAAAAAGTTGTCAACTAGGGACGAATTGAAAAGCATTTTAATTCAGGCATACGATATATGAGATAGCCAGCAAGAAGTGACACTAATAAATTAATGAGAGAATAAACTAAAGCTTAAGTAGCAGCAAAGAATTAGAGAAAAGATAAAAGATGAGGAAGCCTAATCAGAAGCAAGAGGAGAAGCCAAAAGAAAGAGTTGGATCCATGAAAACAGCTGAGTGGCGTTAACAGGGAAGTTCTCGTGTGCGGAAAAGTGGTTCTTTCCCAGGGCTGCCCATGCTAATCAGCCTGGACCCTAGAAGATGCTCTACTCAAACAGAATCTCCAAAGCTTTGAGATGTTGAGGGAGCTGCAAGAGCCATTCTGACGCTCTCTGGTTAGGTGTCCCTCATCCCCCACCACAGCAAACTCCCAGTCTTGGATTACACTGAGTTGGTTACCTGACCTTCCTAATTGCTGTGTATACATCTTGATAGTTAATCCTTGTTACCTGAGTCTCCATTCCTTCTAACCAAAAATGTCTTCACTAAAAGAACTAAAGAAAAACAAAAAATTTAACTTCTTATTGAGAGAGCCAGAGATAAATCAAACCTACATGACAGGGGTTTTCACATGGAATCATCTTCTAGAAAAATATGGTCATTTCTGATTTCTCATCATAAAAAGCTTCTGAGAAGCAAATTTTCTTTAAAGAATTATTTACATCTTTTGTTAAGAGGAAACGCCAAGATTATTTCACCATAAATAACTTAAAGGTACATGCCTTTCTCCTGACTTTTTCTAAATATATGAGGTTATAAATTAATGAGTTCATACCACATGCCACACAGAAAAGTAGGATTGGTCCTCAGCCATCACATATGTTTTTATTTTGTCCGTCAGTCCATAGGCCTTTTTCTCCTAATTGTCTGGAACTGTGGGATGCATCTCAGACACCAGAAAAATCTGGAATGTTAGTGTTTAATTAAGATAAATTCCTCAAATCAAAAATTTTAACTTATTTTTAAATTATGCCTTCAGAACAAAAAGGAGTGCTTGGAATACCTATGATGACAACTTAAGGAAATTTGAATGCCAAAAGTGGTAACATTAATCAACTTTTCAATTAACGGTCACTCAATATAAAGATGATAAGCTGTAATTATAGATTGTCCTATGTAATCTCAGTATACCAAATTGCACTGTTAGGAACTTACAAATTAAACTTACTTGATAATTAGTGATACTTATCAAATTATTTCATGTAAGTTTTTTAGAGTTCTTTATAATTGATCATTAAGACATACATTTAAAATGGTTTTTTCTTTCTTAAGGGTTCAAAATAATGCCACAACCTTCTTTTCCAGCCTTAGCTCTCAATACTCTTCTTTCCTTCCTTATTTTACTTGCCTTCCTCTATCTTTGTAGGCAGTAACAAACCCACCAGTTAAGTCTTTCTCAACCATTCTGCTGCTTTAAGACAAACTTTATTTCATCCCAGTTCTCCATGGAATGAGTCATCATTTGTGCACCTGTATCCCTATATCGTTTACCCAGAGCTTCTTCTATATTTAATACATATTGTGCAAATTGGTTTTTCTTTGACCACTGGAATCAAATTTTGTTATTTTGTTTTGCTTTAACAATCCATAATGCCTACCACAGTGACCTATCCAAAGTAGATGCAGTAAATACATTTCGTTGCACAAAAAAAAATGTTTGTGTACACCATTCATAATTTTCAACTTCCATGCACCTATAGCCAATGACATTCATTACTGTCACAATTAACTGGAATACAGTTTGTGACCAAAAAGATTATTTTCACTATGAATCTGGCTCAAAAAAAATCAAATCTATGATTTTGAATTTTTAAGACCAAGATTCAAAGAAAAAAACTATCCACATACAAAATTGTTACAAAAGAATCTCGAATCTAAAGGAAAATACACAAAACTGTATTATGGATGATTGTATCACAGATGTCAGTGGTATATAAGAATGCTAGTCTGCCAATGTTCTCAAAATAATCATATGAATATACATTTTCCAGAAGATATTTACTGAATTCTAAATCATTATGGTTTGAAAGCTTGAAATTTCATTTACTACCAAGGAGACACTAATCAAAGGGACAAACTGAGTAACTATTTCAACTTACTTCTTTAGGTTCTTTAAGGAAGTCTGATTACATGAGGCCAGCTTCCTCTCAGAAAAGCTGTCATACGTGAGGTTCCCAGATTGTTTTCCCCTAAAAGTTGCTTCAATTTCTCAACTGGGGCTTTTACAAAACCTGTAGATTACATGTCTTTTGTCTTCCAAGTGCCTGATAATTAAAATTTCAACTTAATGATAATAACAAAGGCAAAATTATAATTATCTAAACATATCAAAATTGAGATGAAAATCAATCTTGAATCTTCATTTTTCAAGTTTATCTATAATCCTGAACCTTCACCTGAGTCCCAGAACCAAATCCTTACCTGCTTACTACACATTTCCACTCTAAACACCTCAAGTTCACTGTGCCCAAATGAAACTCACAGGGTTACATGAGGATGAGCATAGTAAATGTTAGCAATGTCTATGAAGTGCCAGTGAATTCTGCTGTTTAATCTAATTTGAACTGGGATCTTGTCACCATAGAAAGGGTACTGATGACAGTTTCAATTTCCTTCAAAATGTGCTGGAAGTCCATCCTTCCTCTGCCTTTCCATTATCACCACCCCCATGAGATTCTTGAGCAATATTTTAGCTGGCTTGTCTGACTGCATCTTTACTCTCCACAATCCACCCTAGTTACCAGTGCTACAGTAACCTTCACTAAACATCATTTTCATCATGAAATTTTCCAGCTCCAGTTTCTGTTCAGACTCTTCTCTCTATAGCTTCCCAGGTTCCATTTTAATTATCGAATCTGAATCACTTCTCTCCCTAACATTCCAGTCGACCTGACATCCTCCTACCTTTCATAAGATCATGCCTTGCTAATTCATGTTCCTCTGTCTTACCTTGAGTCATCAGCCTCACCCATTCCATTTTTCTGCTCTGAATAATCAGCTCCAATTATGCATATTCTGCCTTCTCTATGATACCTTTTCCAACCTTTATGGCTTTTACTGATTTTACCCTCCTCGAGGTTCTGCATCATTTTCAATCCTGTACTATAGGCTGCAACATGCAATTATATACAATCCTGTACTGTGTCAGGTGGGTCTAACTAATCCACTTACAAAGTGAAGTTTTCAAGTTACATTTTTTGGCATGTCCCCTAACTCATTGATAAGCACACAATAGGCATCAAAATCAATATTTTTTCATAGGGCCCACTCATAACACTGCCTATCCTTATTTTCTAATTTTTAAATTATTCTGTAGCTTTAAGAGAATTTTTCTTCAAATTAAGATAACCTTTACTACAGTTACCTAATCTTGATGCAAAAACTTGATTTTGAAAGGCACATAAATCTTAAATGATAAAAAAAAAGGCAATAAGGCAGTTTTAAGGTAGTTACATGTTTTTATTACATAAACATTATGATATTCCTTGTGGGAGCTGGTCTTCAGTTTGCTTCTTGCTTTCACAGAATGTCAAATATCTATAAAAATTGTCTAAGAATGATTTATGAAACACTCTCACGCACCCACAGAAAAAGCCTCAATGCCTACATTTTCCAACCAGATTCCTGAGAAAAATAATAGGTTTTATTTATTTTACAGTGTAATACATAAATTTTCTTTCAAGATATAAAAAGGACAGACTTCTAAAATAAGTCTCCTTTTGTTAACGAAGTTCTATAAAAATACATTTAGTATGCTCATATGTTTGTCCTTTGACTTGAAAATATTCCAGTTTACCAGAAACAAAAAATAACAATAAACAATGATATGTAAGCCACATTAATCTTGCAACAATATAATGTCAACATCATCATGAACACCTTGCAAAAGTAGCTCTCCTGAGTACGTAACAATCTTCCTCCGTTTTGCAGCTTTGAGAGTTCCTACCAATGCTTCAAAGAGGTTGGCACATTTGTCATCTCGGAAGAGGACCCCAAATTTCACACTTAACTTCCCATCAGCATCTAATTTGAGAAAATACAATGTTAGCCAATGTAAAGCCTGTTTCTTGCCCCCATATATGGAAGAGTTACATAATTATTTATAATAAATATCTAACCATAGGTTAACCAAATTACAGTTTAATACTTAATAGTCATAAATTCAATGTAACCTCTTGTCAGATCCAAAAAGTAATGGAAAAAAATACAATGTGTTGTACGCTTCCTGGCCTTAGTAGTATCTGGACAAAAACTGGAAGAGAACCAAGAAACATTTACAAAAGGTAAATATGCAACAGTGCTACTATTGTGAACCAATTCTTCTCTGTCTAAATTTTGATTTTTAAATGATTATGTCAGATGCTGAATCAGTAAAAACAACAAATACAACAGAAATCCCTGATCAAGAGCAATGCTTCTCCACATTCTGAACATACTCAGAATCCCCAGGGAAGGAATGATGATCTTAAAAGTGAAGAAATCTGTATTTACCACGATTCCTAGATAATCTAGCTTGGAGGTCAGTTTTTAATATAGATGATAAAAATTAAGGTAAATCCTAAAAAGAAATGAATTATCAAGCCATGAAAAGACATGGAAGAGCCTTAAACACATATTGCTAAGTGAAAGAAGGCAATCTGAAAGGCTATATGTTGTATGATTCCAACTATAGGACATTCTGGAAAAGGTAAAACTATAGAAAAAGAGAAAACTAAAGAGATTAGGTGTTTTCAGGGGTTGGGGTAGGGGACAGATAAACAGGCAGAGCACAGAGGATTTTTAGAGCATGAAAATATGCTGTATGATAGTATAATGGTGGATACATGTCATTATAAATTTGTCCAAGCCCATAGAATGTACAATATCCAAGAGTGAACCCTAATGTAAACTATGGACTGTGATTGATGATGTGTCAGTGTAGGTTCATCAAATAGACCACTCCATTGTAACAAATGGACCACTCTGGTGAGAGATGTCATAATGGGGGAGGCTGTGCATGTGTGAGAGTAGGAGATGACTGGGAAATCTCTGTACTTTCTTTCAATTTTAAGGTAAATCTAAAACTCCTCCAAAAATGTAAAGTTTTTTGTTAAAAAAACGATTAAGGTCAACAATCTTTGGTTAAAAATCAATCAACTGAAAACTCGGTGATGAGGGTTAACTGGGACACCTCCCCATTGACGGTTGGTTCCTCTGATCTACCCAGCTGACCCTGTTCCTACAGCACTGCCCCATGTTCTTCTCTCCCAAAGCTGTGCCCACTGTCAAGATGGCCATCATAGTGAGCGGGGACCATTCCTTGCCCAAGGGTTCTTGAGTTCCTGTGCTCCCCTGCTAGAACTTCCAGTTTGAGGCTTAGTAAACTCCTCTGTGAGTGTAGCACTGTGCTGGGCACTGGAGGCAAATGGAACAAAGTATAGAATCACTTTAGCTTTCAAAGAAATGCTATAAATTCCCATGAGGAAATAAGAAATACACACATAACAAGTAAAGCAAGAGTACTAAGCAGTATGCAACTGGATGTCAAGTGAGTACCAAAGACAATACATCCTACAGCTTGGAAGAGAACAAGATGACTTTGGGCTACAATGGTAGGAGACTTCATGAAGGAGTAGTACCTATTCTGGACTTTAAAAGGGAGTATAACATGACAGTCCTCAGTTGAAATCTCTCCCACCTACTAGTTGTTTGCCCTTGGGCAACTGCTTAAGCTCCTTAAGCCTCAGTTTCCTCATCTATAAAATGGGGATCTTAATACCTCCTGCACAGTGCTACTGGGAGACACAGTTCTAAAGCCCACAGCACAGGGTCCAGCACACACTGAGCACTCAATCAATTATCATTGGCTCGACTGTGAGTGAGAGAAATGGGATAGTGTGCCAAGCCATAGTCACAGGTGAAGCAACTAAGTGTCTGGGGAACAGTATCTAGAGTGACTCACCTCAAGTAAATTATCTGAGATGAGAAGAAAAGGAAATAAGTTTGTAAAGGAAAACAGAGACTCTGTCCATGCATGGCCTGGAAGCAAAGATGCACCTCTTTGATTTTTTCAGCTTCTAGCATCATGACCCTCTGTTTGCAATAAGAATCTTTTACCAATTACAGAAACAAATGGAGCTGCTGGGTAACCTCAGGCAGATCCCTCAAGCTCTGACTTGCAGTTACCTCATCCATAAAATGAGGGTAGAAACTCCCCTCACAAGGTTGTTACAAAGATTAAAAGATAGAATATAGGTAAAACCCTTTATAGATTGCTCGGAATATGGTAAATTCATGTTAAATTTTAAAGGCATCAAAGGCAGAAACCTGGGTATAATGTTGGAGTTCTCCTGCCTACTCACTCCTCAATCTTGCAAGTGATTCCACTTTCTTTGTACTTTCTGTTGCTCTAACTTCTCCTCTCCATGGACAATTAATTTCTTGATTCAGGCCCAAATTGATTCTCATGTGGGTAGTTGTAAGACTCCTTACCAGCCTCCCTTTCTCCATTTTTGTCCTAAAAATATATCCTCCATATTGTAAAATAAAAAATGTGGAAGAAATGCTATAAGATGAAAACTTGACTGATAACCTTCTACTTTACTTTTTCAATGGTTCCTATCACCTTAAAAATAAAGTGAAGTCCGTGGCCTCACAGATAAGACTCTGGCCTTAGACTAAGGCCAGAAGACTAAGATAAGTCCTCAGGCCCTTGCACTCATCTCTCACCTGATCTCCTCCTCTATTGTACCATGAACTTTTTGATCCAGTTAAAATAAATGACTTGCTGCTACCCAAGGTGACATGAAAGATCCTGCCTTGGTAATTTTAGCCATGTTGAGCCAGGGGTCCAGCATTCCAGACCCCTTTCCCTAGCTAAATTCCTTTTCTTCAAGAATGGACTCAAATGTCATCTCTGAGAGGTCCTCTGAGATTCTCTCAATTGAGTTAATAGCTCTTCTCATAAAATTAAATACATAGTTGTGAAGCAGGCACCATCAATTATAGTAACAGTTGCTCTGTTGCTAGAACCATTCAATGAATTTTACAGTCATTAAACTCAATCCTCATTTCATCAAAGATAAGATACAACTGATTTCAAGAAGGACTATTATTTTATGTTCTGATTAACTATAGCACACCATGTATTAGAAGATATATTCCTATTTTAAAGAGTTCAAAGTGTAAAAAAAAGTATTTTTGAATCACTGAAACAGAGAACTATTATACAAATAAGGAAATCAAGGCACAGAAAAGTTTAGTAATTTACCTAAGGTCACACAGCGAGTATATGTTGAAGAGCTAGGATTCATTCCCAGAGAGTCTGACTCTAGACATCCCAATACAGCAGTTTCGAATACAGGTCTTCTCAATACAGAACTTAAGCTCTTAACAACTTCCCAATACATGCTTCCAGTTTGTCTGTCTCCTCGCTACGTAAAGAAATCCACAAGGATTGAGACAGAATTTTGTTTATTTTTACTACTCCAGCACTTAAGCACAAAGGCAACACTCAGAAAATATTTGTCGAATGAAAGAATTTAAATCTCCAACTACTCTTTATCCATTTAATTTTTTTCTACTGGATGAAAAATGAGAAAAGAATTTTAAAAGAAACAGATAAAAATAAATTTCTCAATTTCTATCTTCAGCTTATATATCATTTAGATTAGTTTAAATATGATTAATCTATATCATAATTTAGATTCATCAAAATTATTCCAGACACAACTTAAATAATTGACTATAATATGTCAGTAGATAACGTATCTCCATAGATGATTTCCAACTCATAAATCATCTATTACCAGGTACAGGTAAGTCAAGGAGGCCTGGTAAAGCTGCAATGTTGAAAATACTTTCATTCGTATAGAAGTTATGATAATTGCTCTGTTGTCTTACAGTTTGTAAAACTGCTCATTTTGAAGTGCAGGTTCAGTTTATCCTAGCAGAACAATAATACTGTGCGAGGGATACAAAAGTTAGACTTTTAAATGCAATAAATCTGACCAATAAACACTAAGGTGACATGGAGAAAGATCTAATGGAAAAAAGAACCCTAAAATCTTTGGAAATACACCTTTAAAACCTTTAACAAACTAAATAATAGTATTACTTCCAAGAGTAACATGACCTCACAGAGCTCAGGAGAAATTGGGAATGTAGAAACGAGGACCACAGAGGCATCACTGTTGAAAACAAGACTTATCAAACTTCCATAGAGGAAGAAAAATGGGGTCAGGAAAGATTGTTCATTTGTTTGACTGGGGACCTAAATAAATGACATCCTCCACTCTCTATTCAGTGTTCTCCACAAATATCCCAAATGCAGCTCATGCATTTCCTCCTAAACTGCCCTGCCCTAAACTTCAAAGTCTTACCGGATAGTCAGGTGTCATTGAGTGCTCCCAGCTACTTCACCTTCAATAATCTAGTTATCTGGGACCATACTAAATTGAATGACAGCACTTCACAGTTTAGCATACCAATTTTTTTTCAATTGCATCATGAGTTTTTAATCTATTTTTCTCAACTAAGTAGTAAGATCACTGAAGCACAGGAACACACTTTATGCCTCTTCTACTTACACAGTGCTTGGCATATACAGATTGCCAACAAATAGTAACTGATCACATGATTAAACTCAGTTTTGAGTCCATACCAAATTTTATATGCCTCGTTTATCTTTACTTGGTATATTTAAGTGATAAGTCAGGCTTGATATAAAAATAAAGTGACTAGAAAAGACCAAAAAGGCCAGGCAATAGGAAAAATAATGACCCTAATAGATATCCATGTCCTTATAATCCCCAGAACAGTGAATATGTTCCTTTATATGGCAAATGGTACTTTGTAGGTGTGATTAAATTAAGGACCCTAAAATGGGGAGATTATCCTGGACTAAATGAGTAAGCTCAATGTAACCACAAGTGTCCTTAAAACTAGAAGAGGAAGGCAGAAGATGAGGTCAGAGTGATATGATGTGAGGACTAACCAGCTGTTGCTGGCTTTGAAGATGGAGAAAGGGTGCCGTGAGCCAAGAATGCAGGTTGCTTCTCGAAGCAAGAAAAAGACTAGGAAACATATTCTCTAGTGCCTTCAAAAAGAAATGTGGCCTATTAACACCTTGGTTTTGGACCATGCAGACCATTATCAGACTCTGTTTTCATCTGAATATTCGTGTTCCCAAAAAACTCATACATTGAAATCCTAACCACCAAAGGTATAGTAACAGGTGGGACACCTTTGGGAGGTGCTGAAGACTCCTTTGGGTGTAAAGATGTAAAGGTCATGAATAATAAGGGATGAATGCCTCAGAAAAGAGGCTGCAGAGATCCGCAGATCCTTCCACCCTGTGAGGATACAAGAAGTCTCAAATCCGGAAGAACACTTAACCTGGCACCCTGATCTCTGACTTCTAGCTGCCAGAATTATGAGCAATAAATTATAAGCCACCAAGGCTGTAGTATTTTGTTATAGCAGCCCAAATGAACTAAGGCAGACTCCTAACCTACATTATTACTGTTAAGATATTAAATGTGTGGTTTTGCGTCACGCAGTTTGTGGTAATGTTACAGCAACAACAGAAAACTAACACGGGGACAATTGATAATAATGGCTTAACGGAATTTTCAAAGTATGTCTTATTATTTCAAACAATTTCTGATTCATAAGCAGTCAGAACTATAAGAAGAATCAAGCTATAATGACAAAACAACTCTTATGAGGTCATTTAAAGCCATTTTTCACTTATATGATGTAATTTTATAATTTTGAATTCTATTAGCCTAGTTGTTGCTGAATATGTTTACTGTTCTTAAAATTTTCTAAATGCTCCCCAAATCCTGCATGTCTTATCTGAGATGTACAAATACTCCAGCTACAAGAACAACAAACAGTTACTTCGTTACAACTCAGGAAAAGGACGCGAATACCACCAATTTTACATGACACTAATATCATGGGAGCTGTTTATATGCTGCTGAAGAAAAAGCTGACTCAAAAAAAAACGATGGAAAGGATGGTTTAGTTATAGGTACATAAATACCTGATTATATAAAATCCAAGAACGTAGAGAAAATAAAAACAATTTAGTATAATTTCAATCTTAGTCCCTAGTCATTTGGAAATATGTAAAATGCTGACAGGAGAAAGCAAAAAAATAAATTTTAATAGTGTGAAAATTAAAAATTTAAACATGATTTAATTACCAGATTTCAATGAAGGCAGATTAAAGTGGCACAGCAATTTTCTCTCCATTCAAAGGATTATGAAATATCTCAACCATTCTTTGCATCAGAATCACAATATCCTAATAGCTCTGTGTCTGCAGATATCAATCACTTCATGGTTGAGGGCACTCAACACCTGGGACTGAAGGCAGAGCCACCAAAACTGTGTCCTGAAGCCCTGGTGACCCCTTTATAGGCAGCTACCAAAAAAGTTGGTGCTACTTGCTTTTTAGGTAAACTCAGTAGAAATACTGTACCTGTGTTATAGTACTTACTTTTTGAACCCAGACGATGAATTTCTTCCACTAAGAGGTTAACCTCGTGATCCACATTCATTGCTGCCTGAGAGGGAAAAAAATAAGTCTGTATTACTACCATTTCTACATTCCATTAAGCATATCTTGCAAATCCAAGGGCCCTTTCTCCTTTTATGTAGCATTTGTCACTATTAATTTACCATGTCTCTCTTCCTAAAAATACTTGTGAATTGTACAGGGCTTTAGCGTACCTCCATTTTCCTTTATAACTTCCCCTCTGGGCTGATTCCACTCATTCTACACAGTCTACTGGGAAGAATGCAGCCTTTTTCCCTTGTACCCACTATTAACTCTAAGCCCATCCTCTTCATAATGCTCCCCTCACAACCAAAAATATAAAGGTGAGCTGCATAGGACCTGTCCTCAGGGAATGTTCAACCACCAGAAGCCAAGAAAAGCTCTGAATGCATAACAATGTGACAGCATTCTTAGAGTGATGGGTCCAAGGCACAAAGGACAAGCCACAAAAGGCTTTGTGGGGGTCACTGGGGAGGAGCAGACCAGGTAGACAGTTGCAAAAGCATGTTCTATGCATGGGGTTCTATACAAAAGGGTGTTCTATGCAAAACACAGAAGCAAAGGAGAAAAAGCAGGCCCTAAGGTAGGAGCTGGAGGTAGCAAGATAAAGGGACACAGATCCTCCTCTCCGGAAGCGCGCAATCTAGTGAGGAAGGTAGATCAATATAAGGCAATTTTAATAACATCAGGTCAGTGCAATGATGACTTCTGCGTCACACACAGGGACAACATGTCCTTCCCTGGACAGTGCGCAGTACAACCTGACTGCAATGGAGAGCTTGTGGTGACAATCATTCATCTTCAGATAGGAGGAGTCCAGGATTAATGGGAGCTGTGAAACTTCCCTCAGCTCACTAGGTCCTCCGCAAGCTGGGTTCTGCCTACTATTCCAGCCTCCTCCACTCTACCCTCTGAACTGTAGGCTGCAGCTACATGGGGCTTCTTTCTATTCCTTAAATGTCCCTCAATTTCTCACCTCTAGCCTTCACACACACCGTTTCTTCAGTCCAGACCATGACTATTCCTCTGTCTTGGGGCTAACTCCCACACATCCAGTCCCAGCTAAGATATAACTTCCTCCAGGAAGCCTTCCATGAAACCTGGAATAGGAGAACTCCCACACTGTGTGTTCCCATAGCTCTGTCTGCCCTCTTCATTCCACTTGACTGGAATTATCAGTTTTCCAGCTTTCACCACTACATGGTAAGCTCCTCTAAGGCAGGGACCTGACTGTAATGCTCTCTGCTGGAGCACGTCTGAAACCAAGAGTACAGGTTCAATAAATAGTGGTTTCATGGACTGAAAGAAGCAAAGGTATGAGAGGGGCTGGGAGTTGACAATTCCAATGAGAGTTGTCAGTATAGTGCTGCTGATTTAGGTGGGAAACAGAGAGGCGCTCTCAGAGGAAGAGAGCTCAGACAGAAAAGGGAAGGTAAAGGAGCCTGGCAAACACCTACAGAAGTGAAAAAGAAAAATCCCAGCAAGAAACGGAAAAGAGGAGGTAGAGATGCAGGAGAGAACCGCAATAGAGTTGAGTGGAAAAAGTAAAGGAAGAAGAGTTTCCATAATAAGGCAGTGATTTACAGTGAAAACGACAGCATGAGGGTGTGAGCAACAGAGCAGAATGTGCATCAATTCAGTCTGTTTTCAAATCCTAAAGTCTCCAAATCAAATGAGAGACCAAAAAAGTAGCAGTGTGTATGATTGACTTTGGAGTAACAATTTGGAAGAAACAACTCTATTCATATAAATTATATCTAAATCTCGGTAGTTTTTAAAAACAAGAATGGCATCTATGTTTAAATTATATTGATTGGGAATCTGGAGTTCCCATCGGGTACTAACTAAAGGCACCACTGCCATCTCCTACATTATATGTGTAAATATTATAATTTAAGAAGCTTGTATTGCAATGAAATGCAACATCTTAAGTTAATGCATCTACATAAAACTCATTATCAAAAATTGTAGCATCCAAATGTTAGGAACTTTGTGTTGGTGAAATTTTACCCATGACATGATATTCAAGTCAAGATAGAGTTTGAGAGATTCAAAAGCTAAAATACACCCAGAGGACACAACTGAAAGACATACCACAAGAATAATGGTAGGAAAAAAAACCTGTAAATGTCAGTGTGATAGACAGCTGTCATTTTTACCTGCCCAGCACTCATTCTCCATTATGACTCCAGCAATCTAATTTTTGTTTGGATCAAGTCTTTCCTTCCTTACTCTAAACCTGTGTATCTTGGGAAGAGCCTCAGCCTAAACTCCAAGAGTGGTTCAGAGCCAATATAATTGATTTGGGGCATAGGTAGGTGATCCCATCCTGAACAGTGAGGTTCATCCCAGGGATTTTGCCAGAATCACTAGTAATACAACCCTCTCCTACAGGATTCTAAGATATACGTGTATAGCCCCTAACGTAAACAACTACTGTGTAGGAAGAACCTGCCAGGAATAAAGCTAGTAAAAAGTCCAACCACATAATAACGACTGAACCTGTACATGACGCTGGGCTTTCCAGTTACACGAAGCAATCAATTGTTCTTGGTTTTTCTCATGCTGTTTGAATAAGTTTCGGTCATGTGCACTCTAGAAACTCTTGACCCAAAAAGTTAACCTAGAGATTTACCACTATTTTTTTCTAAAGTAAAGCTCCTTTTATGTACTTACGTGAATAATCTTGTTTTGTGTTGCTCTATTGGGTAGAATGGATAGATGTAATGAAAAGGCAGATTTGGGAGCCATATAAGGAAAAATTTCTCTAACAATCAAAATTGCCTAACAATGAATAAAGTTTGCACCCTTTTACCATAAGAATTAATGCAGAAGTAGTATGGATCTGTGAAGGTTGATGAAGAAATTAGCGCACAGTGGAGAGAAGAGAGAATTAAATGTCCAAGGGGATTACAGTCTTCTCTAATTCTCAGATTCTGTGATTTCTTCCCACTCTGAAAATTTCTCTCTTTAACACGGTTCTCCACTCCTTCCACCCACCACCAGCTGCACACTTCATACATAGCTCTCCTTTAATGAGACTCAAAGAGGAAATCCCACTATTATGTATTGTGTGAATACCTGTATCATATGAAACAGATGTATGCTCATCCAATTTTAAGGGAAGACAATCAGCATTTCTTTATAATTAATTACATGTGAGGCTCCTTATCTATGTTAATTCGTGTAATCCTAAGAGTCTTGCAAAGTATTTATTACTTAACCCCGTTTTATGAATGGTGAAACTGACTCAAAGGGACTCCCTACAATTAAATGCTATTTCTACCATATCTTTCTCCTCCTTTTCCATCCCCTTCCTCTCCTCCTCCCTTCTTCTTTTTCTCTGCTAGATATTATACAAAGTACACTAAATATAATAGTGTGTTCATATGAAATATTACATGCTGAGTACTTACTAAGGCAGAACACTTACAAAGCAAGAAAGGCTCTCTGCCCAGGCCCCTCCGAGCAGGAAAATAACAGGCTGAACTATTGCTAGCATACATAATTTGGCATGATTTATTTATTATTTATCGGAGACACGGGAGAAATACTTATAGCTATACAATACTTGGAAGGCCCATGGCATTTTAGCGGGACACAAGCCTGGGACTGGAGCAAGTAGCAAGATCAAAAACAATGAGAGACCATAAGCGGGGCAAGTCTAAGGGTAAGAAAGAGTTCATCAATGGGGGGATCAAGGGAAGACGATGGCAGATGCTAGGCGGGCCCTCTAATTGTGACAGAATCTAATTAGGCATCGTGCGTGGGAATCACAAAGGAAAGGAAATGTCAGAGGACTGAGCATATGCTGAAATGTTCCATCATCAATATACACTCAAGAATCTATTTAAGGACACTATTAAGTTTTTCTTTCTTCTTTTTTTTTTAAGTTTAAAGGCAATGCATGGAGATTTTCTAATATGCAGGGAATAAAGCCTACTGGAGCGGTGGCGTTGGGAATCAGGAGCCAACTCTACCTACTAGGGCTTGCCACTTTTCCAGCTCTCCTAAGAATTCCGAGACCAGCAGATGGTGCGGTTCAAAGGATGGCTGGGTTCCTTCCTGCCTGCTCGCGGGCGTGCATGCACTCCATATTTGGTCATCCCTGCTCCAAGTTTGGAAGGTGGCCCGGAAGGGGTCCCAAGACCCTGTCGCTTGCAGGCCATCACTCGATCACCACCGGCAGCGGTGGAGAGTTGGGGAGCGCCGTGCTCGGGGCCCTGCTCCGGGCCGGCACGGCGGGCTCTGGGGCGGCCTCCCCGGGAAGGGCCGCGTCCCGGAAGCCTTTGTCTGCGCCGCGAGAGCGAGCGGCCAAACCCGGCAAGGAGAACGGACCCGGCTCCAAGTTCCACAAGCCCCTCGTGTCTCCTCACTACCTCCTACCCCACACACAACCGGGAAGGCACAGAGCCGCACCCACCGCCCGCGCCGCGGAGTCCGCTGCCCTGAAGCCACCAAATCCCTCGGCGTAGCCTCTCCCCGCACCCACAGCCCTGCCCCGCCCAGCTCTGCAGAACCGGCTCCCGACCCCGGCGAGTACAAAGCAGACACTTTGCACCAGGGTGAGAATCCGCGCAGCGCAGCTGGCTCCCCCGTCCGCCCCCAGCCGGCAAAGCGTCACGTGAGCCGAGTGCGGAAGTCTGCGGGAGAGCTGAGGGCGTGAGGCGTGTGACCCCGGCCCCCCGCGCGGTGTCAGCCCAGCCGCGACCTCTGCGCTCCAGAGCGCGCTCCAGAGCCCGCTTCAGGTCCCGGCTCTCCAACCACAGCCCACGATTCCCCCTGCTGCTTGCCCTCCACCCGACACCCGGGTCCATCCCTTATACCTGGCCACATCTTCCCAGGGGACTCACTCACCTCTCCGCTTCCTTTTCTTTGCCGATGAAAAACTGGTGCAGCGTCGGCCCGACCGGGTTATCTTCTTCAAAGCACTGTGGGGGGGAAGAGGCTGAGGAAGGAAGTGACTGAGGCAAAGAGAAAGGCTGGCGTGCAGGAGGAGGAGCGGGGCGGACTGGGGTGGGGGAGGTAAGAGTTTCAGCGCTCAGGAAAGGGGCCGCCCACGCTCCCTGGGACAAGCCTATGAGGAGGAAACTCGGGAGAGGAGACCTCCGAGAAGCGGGCAGACTCCCGACAGGTGGCCGGGCGCCTGAGGCTTCTAGGAAAACGGACGCAGAGCTTCGATGACCGCCTCTTTTCCTCTGTGCCTCTCAGATCCAGTGGTCCCCAACACCTCCCTCTGATCCTTGGCATGATTTCCTGCCAAGATCTCTTTCCTGACATAAGAAATAAAGCGCCCCCGACTTGCTGAAAGCCGAGATCTTCTAGGGGGAACGTGATATTGTTCTGTGTTCCAAGAGCAGGGCCCCCAGAAAACTACGTGACAGCAGGATAATCTGATTTGCAAAACAGAACTCATCTTGAACACCAATGTGTTCTACTGCAAAGAAATTTCACTTGAACAAAGGTATTGATCCTGGGTCAATATAAGTTTCTTCATTATTTCCTACATTAACTGCATAATGTGACCAGCTTGTTCATACTCGCTTTATTTTAGTTACTATCGTTTCCACCTGTGTCTGTGAGAATGCGTGGGTGTGAGGGGAAGGGGGGTGATGCTTGCTGTACCAGGAGCCCACTGGGAAAGAAAACTGAGGCCCTACTGAGAGAAGTGGCCCTAACTATTCCCCAGGCAGAGATTGCACAAACAACTACCTCAAACTCCAATATCTGATTGGATTAAGAGTGATCACGTGACCCAAGAGCACACAGTCTATAAACTGGCCATCATCCTAGGAAGTGACCTGGAACAAACAGTTCTCACCAGTGACTCTGGTAGTTAGGTAAGCCAATCAGATTCTCCCTGGGAAATTGAAAGGGTAGAATACAGAGAATGAGCCATCTGATAGAAAAGCTGAAGGTGAAAGAGGTCTTGGGACAGGAGTAGATAAAATGGGCCTCCAGAAAGCAAAACATTTGAGTAAGCAGAAACCACAAGCATGAAGTAGAAGGTGGGTGGGGCGGAAGTGGTAGAAGCGGACTCAGAAAAGCTGAGACCCAGTGATGGGAAAAAAGCAACAGAAATCTGCTCCCGAGCGGCGTGCGAGTGTCCAGGTCCCTAGGGGTACACTGGATCCATTCACTTCCCAACTGTGTTCTAGTTACCCTTTCCAGTAAATACCTATCACTTTGGGCATAACTCTGAATGAGTCTCTGTTCACTAAAGATTATTACCCAAAGTTCTGATTTGTCTAGATTTCGCATGTCACACGAAGTTTAAGGTGACTCCAGGATCCTTTGAGGCCTATTTTTTTCTCACTAAATCTGAGAAGTTATGTTTTTCAAAGGCTATATAACGCAAAAATTATAATTCACAAGAAATATATTTAGCAATCCTCCAAGCAGGACCTGGCTATGTTGGCCAGTGCCAGTGATCACATTTCTTCCAGATAATATCCAATGAAATGAATAATCGACCTGTAGTGTGCCACTTCTGTTATGACTGTTTCACAGTACGCTGCCAGCAAACAAAAAGAAAAGATTACCTAAATAAGTAAAAGTCCCTGTGCATATAAAAATGGATTCACTCTTTAAAAATACTTTGTTTATACATATGCTGCACTACACATAACATAAACTTCATGTTAACCTGTAAGTAATTATAATTCAGGAAAGTTTTTTGATAAAAAAATATTTTGCCAACAAATATTTTTCATACCCAATTCCTACTCTTTCAGTTTTCATAATAGACTTTTGCCATCTTATTTGTTTAGGAATATTATCATGTAGCTAAACAATGTGGAACTTTAACCTAAACAAACAAAAAATAAAGTTTATCAAACAGTAAGGAAGTATTCATTAACTAACAAACATGTGCCAGGAACAATGTCCCAGTCCTGGAGGGTGCAAAGGTGGCCTACGGCATAACCTTTGTCAAAAAGAACTTTCGGTAATATACGTATAAAATATTAAGACAATCTTTATCTATTTACTTAATTGCATAATATACGCTAGCATTCTCCGATAGAAATATGCTTGTGAGCTATACCTGTAATTTAAAAATTTCCAGCAGCCACATTAAAAAAGATACATGTGAGATTAATTTTAATAACATTTTATTTAACCTAATATATCCAAAATACTATTATTATAACCTGTGATGGCTATTTTAAAATTATTACATTATTTTGTACTGTCTTCAAGTCTATTGTGTATTTTACATTTTCAGCACATTTCAGGTCCTTGGTGGCCTTATATGGCTATTAGTCTCCGTATTGGTCAGAATGGCTATAGACAATTCCAGAATAAAGCATGACATAAATGCTAATAATTTTACTTAAGAAATTACATGTTCTTGGAATGACAAAAATTATAACATATTTAAAGGTTCATGGAAATTTGAAGTATTCATTTAAAAACATATAATTTTCTCTGCCACAGTGCATAGGAAAAGCCTTTGTAAAGGATCAGTGGTGTTAGAAGGTAGGACAGTGGTTATCTTTGTTGGGTGGTGGGTGGTAGTGACTGAGATGGGGTATGAGGGGGCCTTATGGAGTGCTGATAAGGTTCTGCTTCTTGATCTGTGTACTGGTTAACCAGGTATTTTGTTTTAAGAATTCCCTAATCTTAACATTAATCTTAACATGTTCTCTTTTCATAAAATGCTTTTTAAAAATAAAGAATAGAGGATCTTAACCAAGCAAGGCTTATACCATGATTGTAAGGATTATTCAGTAGCATTAGGAAATTTAACAATCCCCTGTGGCCAATAGTCTCTAAATTTTACCTTATTCCTTAAAATGAGATTTATCATTTGGATCTGCCATTCTAGTTCGGACTATCATCACCTTGTGCTCATATTAATGTTGATGATGATAGTAACACAATCATGATTACATGTCTTGGGCATTAATTCTTGATCCAATTGTAGTACTGTTTGAGTGCTTTGGGTGACACAAGGAAATAAAAGTAGAATCTGTGCCCTCAAGAAATAATGAAAAAAAGATATATACATGAACAAGTGGGATTTATTCCAGGACTGCAAAGTTGGTTCAACAAATAGAAATTAATCAATGTAATACATATATTAATAGAGGGGGAAATCCACATGGTCATCTCAATAGGTACAGAAAAAGCATCTGACAAAGTGCAGTACCCTTTTCATGATAAAAAAATATTCAGCAAACTAGGGGAAAAGAATTTCCTCAACCTAATAAAAGGCAACTATAAAAGATTCATAGCTAACATCATAGTTAATGATGAAAAGACTGAAAGCATTTTCCCTAAGACCAGGAACAAGACAAGGATGTCTGCTAAAGAATCCAAAAAGGAAGCCCTTAGAGCTAATAAGCCAGTTCAGCAAGGTTGCAGGATATAATATTAATATATAAAAATCAGTTGTATTTTTATATACTAGCAATGAATAATCTGAAAATGAAACTAAGAAATCAATTCTGCTTACAATAACATCCAAAGAATAAAATACCTAGGAATAAGTGCAAGACCTTGTACAAAAAATTGTTGAGAGAAATTTTTATTTTAAAAAACTAAATAAATGAAAAGACATCCTGTGTTCATAGATTAGGACAGAATATTATGAAGATGACAGTACTCCCCCAAATGATCTACAGATTTAGTACAATCCTTATCAAAATTCTAACTTTATTTTTGACAAGCTGATCTTAAAATTCATGCAGAAACAAAAGGGATCCAAAGTAGCCAAAACAACCTTGAAAAAGAACAAAGTTGGAGGACTCACATTCCTTGATTTCAAAGCTTACTACAAAGCTACAGGAACAGGAAGTGGTACTATCATAAGGATAGATATATAGAAAATGGAATAGAATTGACAGTACAGTAATAAACTCAATTATCTATGGTCAATTGATTTTTGATAAGGGTGCCAAGATCATTAAATGGGAAAGAAAGAATGGTATTTTCAACAGAAGGTGCTGGGACACTGGATCTCCACAAGAAAAATAATTAATTGGACCTCTATTTCACACCATATACAAAAACTTAAAATGGATTGAAGACACAAATGTAAGAGCAGAAACTTATAAAATTCTTTGAAGAAGACATAGTTGTAAATCTTCGTGACCTCAGATTAGGCAACATTTGCTTAGCTATAACACCAAAGCACAAGCAACCAAAAAAAAAATAATAATAATAAATAAAAATAGATGAAAATGGGTGTCATGAAATTTAAAATGTCTGCACTTTAAAGGACATTATAAAGAATTTTTTTGACAACCCATAGAATGAAAGGAAAATTTTGCAAACCATATATCTTATAAAGATCTTATATTCAGAATATGTAGAAAACTTTTACAACTCAACAATAAAAAGACAAATAACCCAATTTAAAAATGGGCAAAGAATTGAAATAGATATTTCTCCAAAGGAGATGTATAAATAGCCAATAAGCACATGAAAAAATGATCGTTATTTGTCACCTGGGAAATGCAAATTAAAAACACAGTAAGATACCACTTCACACCCACTAGGATGGCTATAATTTAAAAAAACTGGAAGTTAACAAGTGTTCCTGAGAATGTGGAGAAAGTCAAACCCTCATACATTGCTGGTAGAAATATAAAAGGGTGCAGCATTTGTGGAAAACAATTTAGCAGTTCCTCAAAAAGTTAAAAATATATTTTATATTTTTTGACCCAGTAATTCCATTTCTAATTCTATACCAGAGTAGGCAAATCCACAGCAAATAGATTCATGGTTGCTAGAGACTAAGAGGAGGGAGGAGGGAATAGAGCTAATGGGTATGGGGCTCCTTTTTGGTGATGAAAAATATTGTGGAATTAGATAGTGGTGAAGATTGCACAGTCTTGTGTATACACTAAAAACCCCTGAACTGTACACTTAAAATGGTGATTTTATGGTAGATGAATTATATGTCAGTTTAAATGTTTTTGAAAAAGAAACAATAGAAAGGCAAGACTAACACTTAATAATTAAAAGCTAAACCAGAGAACAAATAATGATTTGACTGAAAAACTGTTGAGCAAAAGGGTTG